AAGTGGCAACCATTTTGGATTTTAAAGTGATAGCATTCTCATTCGTATTCCAGGGACCTAAGAACAGGCTCTATTTGCCAGGGTCAGCAAGGACATGCAAGAGGCTGACAAAGGAAAGGAGACAGGTGGTACAAAAACGGCAAGGAGGCCACATGTTCTGACCTTCTCTAATCCCACAAGAGGAAGACAGAATCACCATCAATAGCCCAAGGCCTATTCCTGCTAGGCCAGACATGCTGCCTCCCTCCAGCCCTTTCTCCAACTGTTCCCCCCAAAGCACCCACCACCTCTCTCCTGGGTTTGATAATTTGCTGCAGTGGCCACACAGAGCTCACAGATTATGGGGTTTATTAGGGAAGCACCACAGGCTACAATTCAAGTTCAGGAAAAATGCTCAGTCTCTCTCCCAGTTCACCGTCCCTCAGCCAACATTCTCTCACAGTCTCTTTCCCAACAGTGCTGGTCCCTTGGTGTCTCACTCAGCAATGCATGTCTCTTGCGTCTCTTTCCCAGCAACGCGTGTCTCAGGAGCGCATGTCTCTTTCAGCAGCATGTCTTCTTCAACCAGCAGTCAGAGAGAGAGAATTCTGACTCTAGGAGGCCTCCTTTTGAGCTTGGCAGTGGCCAAACTAGCCAATCATAGCATCAGAACGCTAAGCACCTGAGAAAGAGCCTCCCATAACATTGTGTTGTGCCACGCCCAACAGAAATAACCCAGGTTGATAGCATTTACACTCAGGAGCTCCTCAGTTGCTCATTCCACCACTGAGTTTACAATGACTTATGGGTAGAAAAGCCATACTGAGTAATTTACTACTGGATTGTATTGTTTAGCTCTTCTGCATCTTTGTTGATTTTCTTTCCAGTTGTTCTACCTTTCATTGAAAGTGGTATATTAAAGTCTCCCACTATGACTGTGGAGTCATCTATTTGACATTTCAACTCTTTTAACGTCTGACTTGTGTATTTTGGGGTTTTTTCATTGAGACCATAGATATTTATTGTGGTTATATCTACTTGTTCAATTGATCCTTTAATCATTATATCTTTCCTTGTCTCATATGGTGGTTTTGTCTTAAAGTCAATTTGATCAGAAATTAATATTGCCACTCTTACTCTTTTACGGTTGCTATTTGCTTGATGTATCTTTTTCCAACCTTTGATTTTTAGTCAGTTTTTGCCTTTGTCTCTAAGGTGTGTCTCTTGTAGAAAGCATATTGATGGGTTTTGTTTTCTTATGCCATCTGCAACTCTCTGTCTCTTGAGTGATGCATTTAATCCATTAACAGTCAGTGTAATTATTGACAAGTATGAATTGGTTGCTGTCATTTTGTTATGTGGTTTTGCATGGTGTCCCTGGTTTCTTTCTTTCTTCCATATTATTTTTTGTGCTGAACTCATTATGGTTATGAATTGTGTTACCATTTCCTTTGTTCCTGTTGTTTTAGTATCTGCTGAGTATTTTTGCTTGTCCTCTTTTGTATTGTGATATGAAGGTTTATCATTTATCTTTGAGGTTACCCTGTGATTTATAATTTTCTCCCTGAGGTTAGAACAGATCATTGTATCTTGTAACTCTCTTGACTTCCTCACCATTTAGAAGTTCTGTAGCTACACACTATTATCCCTCTTTTTTGTTTTGTAGTTGTCCTCATTTGCCAATTGATGCTTCTGGTTCCCTGTTTACAATCTTGTAAGCTTATTTTACTTTGGATGTGTTCATAGCTGTGGTTTCTGGGTTATGTCATCTTGTTTATGAATGGTCGGTTGTTGTATGCTGTTTTTGGTTCTCTGTTCAAAGGACTTCCTTTAGTATCTCTGTAAGGTTGGTCTGCTTTTAACAAATTCTCTTAGTTTCTGCTTATCTGAAATCTCCTAATTTCACCAACATATTTGAGGGATAATTTTGTCAGGTATATAATTTTTGGTTGAAAAATTTTGTCTTTCAGGGTTTTATATATACTATCTCATTGCTTTCTCACTTGCATGGTTTCTGCTGAGAAATCAGAGCTTATTATTACTGTTTGTCCTTTGTAAGTAAATTTTTGTTTTTCCCGTGCTGCTTTCAGTATTCTATCTTTGTCTCTGGTTTTGATGAGTTTGATGATGATATGTCTTGGTGATTTTCTTTTGGGGTCTACCCTATTTGGGGTTCATTGGACTTCCTGAATGGATATATATTCTCATCTTTCATTAAATCAGGGAAGTTCTCCTCCAACAAATCTTGGACAATTTTCTCAGTGGTTTTATTTTTCTCTTCCAGTTCTGAAATTCCAATGACATGTAGGTTATTCCTTTTGATGGTCTCCCACATAAACCTTAGGCTGTCTTCATTTTGTTTTGATCTTTCTTCTGATTGATCCCTTTCCAAAGAGGTATTCGGGTATTTGTCTCCAATCTCATTAATTCTGTCTTCCATTGCATCGATTCTACTCCTTTGCTCTTTCAATGGGTTACTATTTCTGACAATTTAGTATTAATCTTCTGGATTTCTATCTGTGGATTTAGAATCATTTCAAATTTTTCATTTATTTTGTCATTTTGTTCTTGTATTTTCTTCCAAAATTCTTCTAAGGTTTTGTCTGTGTTTTCCTTGTTCTGTCTCTCAATCCTTTGAAGATACCTAAATATAATTCTTTTAAATTCCTTATCAGGGAGTTCCAATGCTACATCTTCCTCAGGGATGTGTTTTGGATCTGTATCCTGGTCCCTTGTTTCTCCTGCTTTATCTTGCTTCTTTGTGTGGACTGTGATGGTCTGCTGTCTCTAAGACATCATGATGTTTTTATGTTTATATTTAATTGGTGATTATATCTTGGAGTAATTTGCCCACAATTTTAAGTTGTTTTGTTTCTATGTTATCTATACAGGCAGGGTACTGTGCTGTGCTCTTCTATTCACTAGTTGACAGCACTTATACACTCACCACCTGCAGTGAATTGCTTGATGTGGCCCTTCTAGCCATTGTCCTCCATTCTGTGATGTTTTGTAAATCCCATTATCCATGCCTATTTGGGGTGGTGTGGTAGTTAAGGTCAGGTATCACCTTGGCTGGGCAACTGGTAGTAATCATTCCCTATAATGACTGGCAAGCGACTCTCGGTGATGGAATTTAGGCTAATGCTGTTGGGGCAACACAGGTGGAATGTATCTTGAGTCCTGCCTTGCTGGAGGGTATAATTCAAATCACCACTCTTACCTTCCCTGAGGGTATACCTAGGAATCTCCTGGGAAGATTCGCTCTCCTCTTTCTCCGGCTTTGTGACTTGGATCATCCCTGGATTTGGGACAGCAGCCGTCATCTGATCTGCTGATTGAGGTTCATCAAACCCCAAGAGTTGGGAGGATCCGCCAGCCCTACTCACGGACCCGGCACTCGCCAGCCTGCCAGCCTCCACCACTACTACGTGAGACGAACCCTTGGGTGTCTGTGAGTTTTGTGAGGCATTATAGCGAAATACAGAACCCTAAGACTGGGGAAATTACTGGGAGGAGGAGGAGGAGGAGTTAATGTCTGAAATGATGGAGTGGTATGATAGTTTGGACATTTGGGACATCTTTAACTTCCGCCTCATGGGGACAGGCCTCGTGCTGATCTAAGAGAAATTGTTCAAGCAATTGGTGTCAGAATGGTGGGATTTGCTGCAACGGCCTAGACTCACTGCAATATGTGGTTTTGGGAGAAAGGAGATAAACGGGAAAGTAAGAAACCTTTGGCTTCTGGATGGGATAAAAGAAACCCATGGATTAAAGCAGCTTTTTTGTTGGGATTGGTCACCCAAGGCAAAAGCTATTCATGGGATTTAGGAGAGATGGATCTAACTCCTGAGGAAATGGCTAATTGTATGTATATGGAAATACAGAATGACGAGGAAAGGGCTAGACTTATGATTCCTTGGTTGCTGTTATCAGCCATAGCTGCAATGGCAGGGGAAAAGAATGTAGAGCAGGGTTGTAGCACTAAATTGAGCTCAGATTCAGTCTAATTAAAGCTATGACCCCTAGTTTCAGGGCCTACCCAGAAAGGAAAAATTGTGTCAGAACAGGCAGTACCGGTAAGACCACTGGTTACCAAAAACATAGTCCAGGAAGGGAACGGGCAAAGCCAAGAAACTATTGAAAGCAAAGGGTACAGTGTGAAAGAGCTGCTTCAGTTTGTAGATAGGTATCGTCAGCCTCCCGAGGAACCTTTACTAAAATGGCTTGTGAGAGTGACTAATTTAGGGGCAGTGTCTTTAGTTTTGAATACTGCTGAGTGGAAGAGTATGTTTGGATTGATGCAAGACCCACAGCTCGCTATGGAACAGGCACAAATGTTAATCCAAGATCCATTTACAGGGCAGCATAACCTTG